CATCCGCTAGGTAAGCTTGCAATGCCCATCCGCTAGGCATGCAGATGGGCAGGCTCCATAATTAAGGAGTCTTATACATTTAATTTTTTAATTATATATATATATATATATATATTTTGATAGATTGATGGATAAAAATTATAATTAATTAAATATATACATTTATATAATACATTATATTTATTAAATAAATATAAATGTTATATAATGTGGAAATGGTATTTTTGGTATTTGTCATATAAAAGCTATTCCCAAAACCATGGGAATAGCTAATACCAAGCCCCCCTAGGAATGGTTATTTCCCTTGCGAAGGTAATAGCTCATTCCTAGGCATGTTATTCCCATGAAAAAAAAATCCAACCAAACGATGGAATAGGTCTATTCCAAGGAATGTTATTGCATTCCTGACCTATTCCATGAACCAAACATGCCATTATGGTCTATTGACATGAAGTGGCTCTCCCAAATAGAAGATCATGTGTTTAAGTCTTTATTGACTCGTTGTGCTTCCCTTTGGGCTTCAATAGGTTGAGAAAGTAGCTATGAACAGATACTAACACATACTTTTTAGTCAAACATCCATCAAATAGGTAGGTTGTACGCAAAATTTATTCTGTGGAGCTAGGTCCACCTTGAAAGGTGGACCAAGGTCCAAACGTTCACAATTTACATACTAAATTTTCATAATTTATCTTTTAAAAATTCACAATTTGTATACTATAAACACACAGTGTTAATATATATGTAATTGATTACCTTGTTTTATATTCACAAGTTCCTTTCAAATACTATAGTCACACAATATTAACAAATTAGGATTTGATGACTCTGTATTATATTCACAAATTCTCTACTACAGCTGTTATGTGTTTTGACTTAGAAACACAATTTATATTCTAGAAGTTCACAATTCTAATACTAAAAATACAGGATTTGTACGTCATTTAGGACCAAGGTCCACCTTGCAAGGTATACCCTGGTTCATGGTATAACAACTCTAGGTTGTAGTTGTAGGTTTAGATAAGTTGGCTGCAAATTAAAAAAAAAAAAAAAAGTTAATTTCATTTTTGGTCCTAGATTTATAGGTGAAAGTCCACTTTTAGTCCTTTTTGTAAGATATATTAAATATAATATATATATTATATATAATATATCTATGTATTTATATATAATAATATATAAATAGGAAGAGAGAGAGAGAGAGAGAAAGATTAGAATGAATAATGTTTATTCACTGGGATGATTTAACAAATGAAAATACACCACATATTTATACTAAGAGAAAGCTAATAAATAGGAAGCTAATGCTCCATGTACTACTCCTATAATCTAGGCATGTTCTACATTAACATACATGACTCACCCATGTTTGTTTTTATTAAATTCTTTGACTTGGTTTAATTACTAATAATATTAATAATATTATTATTATAACATTGCCTCCTCTAAACCAAGTTGGATATATTGGTCATCCCAATTTCCTTCTTCAATTTGAAAAATGTCTCCGTCTTCAAGTTGGATATACTGACTTGTATTTCGTTCTGTAAACCCACTTGACTCCAATTGGCTTCTTCCCAGGAGGTAAATCTGTTAACTCCCAGGTACCATTCTTTTCAATGGCACGTATCTCCTCATCCACCGCCTTAAGCCAATGAGTTTCTGTAGCAGCCTCCTCAAAAGTTAAAGGATCACAATCTGCAAAGAGAGAAAATTGAATAATCTCTTCATCAGACAGGTCATTATCATGACCCAAAACATAATCTTGCAAGCGAGCTGGTAAGTGGCGCTCGCGCTGAGATCGCCGAACTGATGACTCTGGCTGTGAAGGAGACTGGACATTATCTGGAATCGGTTGCTCTTCAACAATATTTTCAACAGCAGGAATAACAACTGAACTTTCATCTTTAGCTAACCAATCCCAGGCACCATATTCATCAAAAGTGACATCACGACTTATAACAACCTTTTTAGTTTCAGGATTGTATAGTTTATAAGCCTTTGAAGCGTCACTATAACCAATGAATATGCATTTCTCACCTTTATCATCCAACTTCTTTCTCAATGGATCTGGCACATGTGCATATGCCAAACATCCAAAAACCTTGAGATATTTGATAGTGGGTTTTCTCCCACTCCATGTTTCTTCGGGTGTCTTATCCCGGACACTCTTAGTTGGACACCTATTCAACACATAGACAGCACAAGCAACAGCTTCTGCCCAAAAAGGCTTAGGCAGATTCTTGGATTTCAACATGCACCTTACCATATCCATGATAGACCTATTCTTCCTCTCAGCCACTCCGTTTTGTTGTGGAGTGTATCTAGCTGTCATCTGATGTTGAATACCCTTCTTCTTCAGAAAATCATCACAGGCAATATATTCTGTACCTCTATCAGTTCTCAAGATTTTAATTTCATATCCACTTTGCTTCTCAACAAAAGCCTTAAATTGTTTGAAAACATCACATGCTTCAGACTTTTGCTTCCGAAAGTAAACCCATGTTTTTCTACTAAAATCATCAATGAAAGTAATAAAGTACTTACAACCTCCATGTGAGGGAACCTCCAACGAACACAGGTCTGAGTGAACAATCTCCAACTGTTTTGTAGCTCTCCTTGACTTGCCTACAGGGAAGGGATCTCTATGCTTCTTCCCAATCACACAAATCTCACATATACGATCAGGGACATTCACAACAGGTAAATCAGAAACAAGTTCCTTCCTCGCAAGATAGTGTAATCCAGAGAAATGGAAATGCCCAAATCGCATATGCCATAACCAATTTTCATCACAAACTTCAGAATTAAAGCAAGCAAGAAGTGTATGCTTAATTTTCAAAGGAAATAGTCGATTTTGGGACATATTTACCTTTGCAATCAAAACTCCCTTAGCATCTTCAATGGTACAACACCCCTGAGCAATATGTATCTTATATCCTTTTTCTGACAACTGACCCAAACTCAACAAATTTTGGTGTAGTTCAGGAACATAGAACACATCGGATATAAAATTGTGAGTACCATCCTTCAACTGAATAGAGATTTTACCTTTTCCCAAAATTGGCACCTTTGACTTATTTCCAAATGTCACTTCAGACCGGACTGATTCATCCAGTTCAGAAAACAATTCTTTCTTCCCACACATATGGTTACTACACCCAGTATCCAAGAACCATATGTTTTTATCTGCAGAAAAACTATCGCCGGCTAAAAGTAAAGTTTCAGAACTCTCACCAGACTTTTCAGCAGTATTTTCAGCAATGTTTGCTTGATTTCCACGATTGTTGTCCTCATTATACCAACAATCTGCAATCTTGTGTCCATACTTGTCACAATTGTAGCAATGAAATGGAAATTTACCTTGTTTGGTATTACCTCCACCTCTTCCTTGGTTGGAGTTACCACGACCTCTTCCACTAGAACCTCCTCTTCCTCTTCCACGACCTCTACCAGATCCTCCACATCTTTGATTAGTGTCAGTCACATTAAGGGTGACTTGACTCTTCAAAGCTTCTTCTGCTAGTGGTTCCGATTTTGACGCAATACTGTCAATATGACTTTCTACCATACCTTTCAGCTCTGCAATTGATAAGAGCTCGGTTTTGTGTGACTCTGTTATTGAAGCCACCACATGGTCATACTTCATCGGCATAGTTCGAAGGACTTTTTCAACCACTGCACCATCTTCAATCGTATCTCCATATAGCCTCATCTTATTCACCATATCAATAAGACGAGTGAAATACGCATCTACTGTTTCTGTAGAGGTCATCTCACAATTATCGTACAACCTTCTCAACGACTGCAACTTAGACTTCTGTGCCCGATCGACTCCTTTGTGTAACACCTTTAAAATGTCCCAAGCTTGTTTTGCTGTTTGAGCACGAGCTAATTGTCCAAAAATGGAATAATGAACACCTTGGTGAATCTGACCCAAGGCCAATTTATCTCGTCGTATAGCGGCTGCATCAGCTCCTTCGGGTAGACCGGGATCAACAAAGCTCCAAAGATTTTGAGCTTGCAAATGTGTGGACATCATAATTTGCCAATAATTGTAATCGAGTTTCCCGTCCAATTTGGGACCCGACCATACAATATTGAAATTTGTTGACATATTTCACTACGAGAAATATTTCGGGGTTGAAAGGTTGAATTGACTGGCTTTGATACCAAATGTAAGATATATTAAATATAATATATATATTATATATAATATATCTATGTATTTATATATAATAATATATAAATAGGAAGAGAGAGAGAGAGAGAGAGAGAGAAAGATTAGAATGAATAATGTTTATTCACTGGGATGATTTAACAAATGAAAATACACCACATATTTATACTAAGAGAAAGCTAATAAATTGGAAGCTAATGCTCCATGTACTACTCCTATAATCTAGGCATGTTCTACATTAACATACATGACTCACCCATGTTTGTTTTTATTAAATTCTTTGACTTGGTTTAATTACTAATAATATTAATAATAATATTATTATAACACTTTTTAATTTATTAGAACATTCAATTTTGGTCTTAGTATTATCGTGGCATGACCATTTTTAGTTCTTTATCAACAAAATAGTTTAATTATCGTTAAATACAAGGACATTTTGGTCTTCAATTATGAATGTTTTCAAAAAAAAAAAAAAAACATAAAAAATATAGCGATTCAACATACTTTATATAAAAAAGATTGAAATGTCTTTGTATTTAACGATATTTCAACGATTTTGAAGGTGGAGGACTAAAAATGATCATGACATAATAATACTAGGACTAAATGATGATGTTCTAATAAAAAAAAGACTAAAAGTGTATTCCCCTATAAATCTAGGACAAAAAATGGAATTAACTCAAAAATAAGTTATAGAATGTACTATCTACCCCTTTTTATAACAATTTCAATGTTATCAGAAACTTTTACGTATCACATTTAAAAAAAAAAAATTCAAGATTATATAATAATAATTTTTGCGTTTCATCATCGTTTTCAGATGTTGTATACATGTCTAAATGGAAGAAGAGTGGACAAGGGAGGTTTGCTTAGGATAATGATAAGCAGGGCAGAGATTGACTTGGATGAGATTCAGTTGATGTTCAAGAATAAACATGGGTTGGAGCTAAAGGATGCAATATGTGAGAGTATCCCTCAAGGTGACTATAGAGAATTTCTTGTCATGTTGGCTACAAAACCCTCCAAAAGGGCTAGGCTTGGCTCTTTATGAATTCTGGAACTCTATATAATTAATAATTTTTATTTTTGTTTTTGATATTTAAATATTTGTATTGTGATGCCATGCCATCATGTGTGTAATGTATATATACTATGGAAAAGTTTGTTAGTCCAATGAGCATTCAGGTTGATGAAAGCTAATATATAATCTTAAATGTAGGTGCTTAATATGTATATTTAAAGATTAAACATATAAAAATTAAATTATTAATTCAAATAAAAAAGAGAGTAATTAATTAATTAAAAATATATAATTACTTTAAGAAGAATGTAATAATTAGAAGTGAATGTAGTATTATGTAATATATTTTTTGGGTAACGAGAAAAATTTCTCCATTATTCGAGGATATGCACTAGATAAATCGGTTCAAACCAAGAAGGCTAATAGGTCGACCATATTAGGAGCCGAACTTGTAACCTAGTGGTTAACAAGTCAACAACATGATCAAATTGGTTGGGGTTATCCCCATTAAAAAGAAAAAAAAAAAAAAAGACTAGAAGTGTTAGTCAATATTATATTTGTAATATTATTGTTACATTGTTTAGTATAAGTTATAGTTGATTTAGTCCTTAACTACTTATCTGATGTATAGGGCTAGTTGGTTAGGCTTAGACTCCTAGGTCTATTGTATCTCTGTATTGGCTTTACGATTGAATGACTGAGATTACACATTCATCTGGTATCAGTTAAGCTCAGGTGATCCACTCTCTCTCCACCCAAAATTATGTCAACCAATTCTAGCGAACGCACGGTGACTGCCGCCACCGTGCCGCCGTCGACCATCTCAACTTCCCTAACCACCGCCCAGCACCTTGTCTCTCTCAAGCTCACCATGAAAAACTATGTATTCTGGTGTACCCAATTGATACCATTTCTTCGTGGACAAGGATTATTAGGCTACGTAATCGGCGATACTCCATGTCCACCGGCGGTGCTCTCAACTCCGGCGACCAGCGATGCGGCTTCCGGTGGCACGCCGTCGACGCCAATGCCCAATCCGGCTTACGGGTTTTGGATCCAACAGGATCAATACATCCTGTCTCTCCTAATTTCATCACTGTCGGACGAAGTCATGTATCTCGCGGTTGGCCGGGATACATCGCGGGCTGTTTGGACATCCGTCACATCGGCGCTGGGCTCATCGACGAGGGCACGCTGCTTGAACCTCCTCGCCAAATTCCAGAGTCTCTGTCAAGGGGATAGTTCCCCCGAAGAGTATCTTGGCAGGGCTCAGCTTCTCTTGGAGGATCTAGCGCTCGTCGGCCGCCCCGTTTCATTGGACAAGCAAAACTTATACGTGTTCCGCGGTCTCCGGCCTGAGTTCCGGTCTATGGCGTCCTCCTTAGCCGCCTCAGGTAATCTAGTAACGATCCCCCAACTTGCAGATTTCCTCCAAGCTCAAGAGTTTATATGGGCGGATGATTTTCTGCCGGCTGGAGGCGTGCCGGCGGGATCGCATACGGCGCTGGTTACCGGCCGAGGTCAACGCAACTCGGGTTTTAGAGGCGGATCGCGTGGTTCTAGTTCTGGCGGTGGGCAAGGTTGTGGCCGGAACAACTGGGGTCGCGGAGGATGGCATGGAAGAGGTCGCGAAGGAGTTCCCCGTTGCCAAATCTGCCGGTAGCAACGCCACACGGCGGTGCACTGTTTCCGACGGTACGATCAGCCACCATCGCAGGCGCATGTGGCGGTTTCCGGTGATGAAGGCGCAGTTGTCGCTGATGGCTGGTTCCCGAACACCAGCACCACCTCGCATGCGACGCCCGACCCCTCGATGATGGCGTATTCCGACTCGTACACCGGTGGTGACGTGCTACGCGTGGGCAACGGGTCAGGTTTGGGTATTTCCAGTATAGGCCATGCATCGTTAAATTCCGTGTCTAGATCGTTAATTTTAAAAGATATCTTGCATGTTCCAAATTTGTCCGTTCCACTTTTATCCGTTAATCGATTCACAACTGACAACAATGTTTTTTTCGAATTTCACCGTGATTATTTTGTTGTGAAGGATTGCCGAACCAAAACGGTGCTTCTTAAAGGTCCTAGTACGGGCGGGTTGTACAAGTTGTCTCGGTCTTGGTGTAATACCCGGTATTTTCCTATGGCTATGCTTCGGGGACGAAGCATTTTAAGGAGGATAGATTGTGATACCCCGGTTATTTGAGTATTTTGTTATAAATATTATTATTCTAAATAAAATTTTATAAAATAGATATTATGTTAAATAAAACATTTTTACTATAGGGTCTGTAATTATATTATTTTATGTGACCCAAAACTATTTAAACTAGTCTACTACTGCTACTCTTTTATTTCTAAACGGTGTATTATGGCTAATAATTATTTATTTATATATGTGTTACGTATGTATATATGTTAAGTACTAGTAGGCTAATATGTATATTAATATTATATTAAGTTTTTAAGTATTGTAGTCTCCTACAACTAGAATTATTATTTATAATACAAGTTATTAGTTATGTGTTTAAGTAGTAGTTATATTGTTCCAGATAACCTAATTCGATATGTTTTTTTCTCTCTCTCTTGACAATCCCTCCTCTCTCCCAAACAAAAATAAAACCCTAGCAGTTTCTTCTTATCAATTAATTTCAAGAATTAGATGTCAAGATCGTCAAGCTTAGGTGATTGCTTTTGGGCATTATTAGAGGTAAGATTTATGTTCACTAAAATTTATTTTTCCCCAAATCAAAAATTGATTTTACTAAGTGTTTATGTGATTTATGGTGTTGAAGAATTTGTGATAATTAACGTGGAAAGTTAATTTATTGTATTATGTGAGTAGATACGTGCGTTTAGATGTTTTGGAATCCCTGAATATGTGATACGGTGATTTTGTGGTGATTAAAAAGGAAAATTTTTATTCAATTTGATTATTGCCTGTGAAAATTCTGACTGGCGCAGCTGGAAAGAAAAATTTGTGAAAAATGCTTCCTAAACTTATTTTTTTCTTGAAATTTATTCTGTAGAACATAGACTTGTTACAATTGATGTTTGTAAAAAGTTTTGGTTAAAAATATGTTTAGGTTTTTCCAGAATAATTTCGTAAAGTTGAGGCAGTGTTCTGCCAATTAAATTACAGTCTGGCACTGTGTTGGAAAATATTTCGAGAAAAATACTTCTATGCCTTGGATTGGCTTGAAACTTTTTTTGTGTAGTCTAGACTCTTTGTAATACATATCTGGAGAATTTCATATGAAAATTTGTTACCGATTTTTCTCAGTAAATTCTGCAATTCAGGTCATAGTTTCTGAAAATTTTTGTCAGTTTCTTATTTGAGATATTGAGAAGTTGCTTGCTTGTGAAATATCATTACTGTTATCATTCTTATAAATATGGAGAGTTGTGTTCATAATAATTAGGTGTGGAATACGCTAATATGTGTTATATCTGTGAGGTTAATGAGGATGTTATGAAATGTTTTGAGGTTATGGGTGTATGAAAATGTTGATAAAGGTTATATGGGAATCTTGAGGAAAGAATAATGGTTGAATGATTTTTGGATTATGGAGAGGCAATGCCTTAGTCGTTTTGCTAGAAGTTGTTATGGATATTTTTGTATTTGGATGTGTGATTTCCTCAATATGTATTTTAAATGGTTAAAGTTAAAGATTATTGGTTTGTTGATGAGAATAAAAATGTTTAAGGGGTCATTCTAGATGCAAACTATCTGCCCCTATGTGTTGCATGCTATGTGCAAAATATTTTACGGGGTGAAGTAGATCTTACAAGCTTAATGCTGAATTTGTGTGTTTCTTTGTTTTCTATTCTTTAATTGTTTTTTGCAGGAACTCTTGCATGAGAATGAGCGAACCACCTAGGGATATCATTTATTAGTTAGACAGTTGAATTGTTAGTTGTTTTTGTACCCGTACATATTTTGAGTTGTTTATTGTAAATTGTAAATTTAGCCTTAGCACTTAGGTTGTTGGTTGCCTAAGTGTGGCGGTAACACCCATTTTCTTTGTATTAGTTATGCTTCCGCTATGATTTTAGTAAATTGTAAATTAAGGAAAAAAATTTAAGGAAATTTTGGATATGAGAATTGGGGTGTTACACTTGGTCACAAGTTGCTTATATAAGTGTGTAACACCTCACTTTTCTTAAACTTAATTACAGTTCTAAAACCAAAATCAGGATAAACCAAGCAGCGGATAAACAAACTTAAATTACAAACTAGTGGGAATTTCACCGCCACAAACCACATCTCCACGATGATTGCACAGGCTAAGGATGAAACTAAAGCATTAAATCAAACTAACATTTAAATTACTTAGTTTAAAGTCACTTGGGGGGAAAACACCCCGATGTCTATCATCAACATAGGTAGCAAAAGTCTACAATCCATCAAATAAACATCATAAATAGAACTGAGTTTAGACTATTAGATCTACTAAACTAGTCTAACTCAAACAACTCTCAAACGCTGGGTCCACTTGAAAGGGGTTTTGCAAATCAACAAGTAGACTAGAAGAAAACACCTGTTAGCACGAAGCTAAGTATAACCACACTCAACCCTGTAAAATACTACATTATATACTTTGGGAAAAGCATTTGTTCATATTCTCAAATTAAGCAATTCAATCACTTAGACAAACTTCAAGATAAACCACAAGTTTTCTATATGTTCGTAACCTATAATATCAACAGGCATGCTTCATCAACAAACAACTTATCAACCTGATCATACTAACACATAATCAACATAGCAAAACTCAACTCTATAGAACAACTCCATAACAATCTCATGCTATCAAGCAATTTCGTGTTATCAATCAATAAGAAATTATTCTCATTCTTTCAAGTTCTCATCATGCAAACTAGATATATAGGGCATCAAAATGAAACTAAAGCAATCGTGCTCAATATACAATCTCGGTTAATCATTCTCATTATGCAATCTAGTGCGATACTATACTCAAATGCAATCTCGTGCAAACATTCTCATTATGCAATCTCATGCAAACATTCTCATTATGCAATCTCGTGCAAACATTCTCATTATGCAATCTCATGCAATACTATAAGTATACTCATACAATCGTTTGTAAAATAGAATATTTTTCTCTGGAGGTTTCTTAGAGTCACGATGACTCGCTTTCTTTCTCTTGAGTCTCTTGACTCGATATCTTTCTTGCTCAAACTTTCTCATACTTCTCATTTCTCTTCTTGTGCGAGGCAGGTACTCCGCTGCAGCGAAGCCCTAGCGTACGGTGCAATCTCATGCATCTGCCACATCCGTAATTACGAAACCTCTAACTCGTGGGGAGGTAGGTCTTCACGAACCGTGAATGGACCTAACCCGCTCGGCAATCTAGCCGGCCACATACTCAACTCGCCCACAGAACCACTCTCTTGGTTCTTTATCTTTCTTTCTTGCTTGCTTTCTCTGTGGAATCAGGTATCGTACTTTTAGTGTGCACACCCCCTAACCAGGATTCCAAGCCTGGCGGGCAGTCTCCAACCTCGTAACGTGGGAATACACCACGTTACATGATAAATCTGTCGGATCGCAGTGTACATTACTTTCTCTTTTACTCCGAAAGGACATAGTCCCAACGGGTCCTGCAAAACCTCACTTATAGATATATATATATAGAGATAGATATATCACTCATGCATCTCAAGATATGCAAATATTCTTCTCATGCAATCAATGCACATAATTTCTCAGCTAAACCTCAAAATGATAAGATAACGGATCTCTACATGAATATGAGATTTTAGAAAATATACCTAGGCTCACATTGGCCTCTTATGCACATTTTTAAAACATGACATGCTCATCAATGCCATTTACTGTGAAATGATGCTTCTAACTTATATTTACTGTGAAACTCAACAATTTCATATATCATGCTTGCTACTCAAAACTTAACAATTCATTTCAATAAACACTTAACAAGTATTTAACATGCTATTGGAACTCAAGTTGCTCCAAGGAACTCATTTACTGTAGTTTAACCTTCAATTTGAACATGCTCTGTACCCTTTCAATAATCCTAAACAATAGCAGACAACTCAACCAATCATATAAACGTTTTTGGCATGCTTTTCTATCCAAACTTAACACATAGCGTCCATGCTTCTCTACTTAATCAATCAAAAGACAACAAGCTCAACAAATAAATAAACTAAGTCTGATGTTTCCATTTGCCATTCACTATAAACATGCTTCTGCAACAAATAGACCTACAAATCCTAGCATAAAATGCTCATTTCTTCTCCAAACTCAACAAAGTCAAAGTCCAAACGTGTGTCATGACGGCCCCAAGGTACCGAGCCACAAGGGCCCGTGACACCCTGTCCGAAACGACATGTAGCTGAGCCACAAGGGCCCGACCACTACACAAGACAACCTCAACAGGGCTAGCGGCGGAGCTAGAGGAGCCCCGCCGCCTGGGACCGGCCTGTAACACCCCATGTTACGACCCCTAAACCAAACTAATTAATTAATTACTTACCCTAAAAAGAGAATTAAAATCCATTAATTAGCTAAAAAGGGGTCCACCATAGTCCATGGACCCTTATCCCTAAAACCAACCCCTTAGTCCTATAAGTAATAGAATTGGCAAGCCCATACCATTTAGACCCTAATTAGGACTC